TTGCATTGTCTTATTTCAAGTGCATATTATCTAATTATCTTATTTTAAGAGTAAAATTACTCATTCCATTGGCAAAATATCTAATTTACCTTCTCAAAATAAGGGTAAATGCACTTAATTTAAGGAATTTTTACTTATTTCTAGATCGTTTTTCCAGTGCAAGAACAAATTCACTTATTTAAAAAAAAAATTATTTATCTAGATTTCAATTTTTCCAGTGTGTCTTATTTCACCACTGATGATATCAGATTAACACCCAGATTCCACGTCCTCTGTCAGCGCTCCATTCCACCCCGCTCTGCCGCTCAACTACATCCTGCGTAGTACTCGTCTGTCATTTTAATCAATGAGAACTGTTCCACATCCACTGCTACACTGCAAGAAAATGATAGTGAAATAAGTCACTTTTTTCTTGGACTATATGCATTTTTTTTTATTGAGGAGGTTGTTGAGACACTTTGCCAATGGAAGAGGACAATTTGGATCTAAAAGGAGAAAAAAACAATTGCATTGTCTTATTTCAAGTGTATAATATCTAATTATCTTATTTCAAGAGTAAATATACTGATTCCATTGGCAGATCATCTTACCTACCTATTGAAATTGGGGCAAATACACTTAATGTAATAAATATGTACTTATTTCTTGATCGTTTTTGCAGTGTACTTTTCCACACATCACGGTCCACATATGCACTGCAAAACCGATCTAGAAATAAGTCAAGCATTTCTTAAATTAAGTGTAACTACCCTTATTTTGAGCAGGTAAATAAGACAGTTTGCTAATGGAATGAGTATTTTTAGAATAAATAGTATGCACTTCAAATAAGACAATGTACACTGGAAAAAAAACAAAATCTAGCTAAGTAATTTTTTCTTAAAATAAGTGCATTGTTCTTGGATTGAGGAGATAAAAGATACATTTTGCCAATGGAACAAGACAATTTACATTTAAAATAAGAAAACACAATAGCATATTATCTAATTATCTTATCTTAAGAGTAAAAATACCAATTCCATTGGCAAACTATCTCATTTACCTACTCAAATTAAGGGTAAATACACTTCATTTAAGACATTTTCACTTATCTCTAGATTGTTTTTGCAGTGTAATTGTGTTTTCTTATTTTAAATGTAAATTGTCTTGTACCATTGGCAAAGTCTCTTACTTACCTCCTCAATACAAGAATAAATGCACTTATTTTAAGAAAAAAAATCTTATCTAGATTTAGATTTTTTCCAGTGTGTCTTCTCCATCCTTCACATTGCATAACCTTTCTAAAAAGAGGTAGAAATGTCTTAAAATAAACATTATAAACCTTAATTTGAGCAGGTAAATAAGATGATCTGCCAACAGAAAGAGAATTTTGACTCTTAAAAGAAGATAATTAGATATTATAGACTTGAAATAAGAAAATGCTGTTGTTTTTTCTTATTTCAAATATAAATTGAAATAAGAAAGAGTCTCATTTACCTGCTGAATTCTACGTGGAGAAGATCTGGTTTATCTAATTAGAACATGGCAACAACAGATCGGTAACTACAAATGATAGCATAATTCTTATAGTTCCCAAAAACTAAGACCATTTAATTTAATTATTGCATGCAAACAATTGGTACACTGGGAAAAATCGACATCTAGATTAGTCATTTTTTCTTAATATAAGTACGTTTTTTCTTGAATTGAAGAGGTAAGTAAGACACTTTGCCAATGGAACGAGACAATTTACATTTAAAATAAGAAAAAAACNCCAATCATGAAAGACAGGAAACAAAGGAGCTGCCTTAAATTCAGGAAGTAGTGGAGCTGTGCATAGAGCCTATTGAAATCTAGATAAGTCGTTTTTTTCTTAAAATAAGTGCAAATATTCTTGGATTAAGGAGGTAAAAGAGACATTTTGCTAATGGAACAAGACAATTTACACTTAAATTAAGAAATTTGTACTTATTTCTAGATCGTTTTTGCAGTGTAAACAGTGTAAACAGGCATGCACTGAAAAAACGATCAAGAAATAAGTCAATATTTCCTAAATTAAGGGTATGGCTGCTTAATTTCAGTAGGTAAATGGGATGATTTGCCAATAGAAAGAGGGTTTTTACTCCTAAAATAAGATAATTAGATAATATGCATATTATTTTAAGTGTAAATTGTTTTGTTACATTGGCAAAATGTGTCTTTTACCTTCTCAATCCAAGAAAAAATGCACTTATTTTAAGAAAAAATTAATTATCTAGATTTCGTTTTTTTCCAGTGTGTCTTATTTCATTTCTTATTTCATCAATTAACACCCAGATTCCACGTCCTCTGTCAGCGCTCCATTCCACCCCGCTCAACTACATCCTGCGTAGTACTCGTCTGTCATTTCGATCAATGAGAACTGTTCCACATTCACTGCTACACTGCAAGAAAATGATAGTGAAATAAGTCACTTTTTCTTAGAATAAATGCATTTTTTTTTATTTAGGAGGTTGTTGAAAGCCTTTAGCCAATGGAAGAATACAATTTACATCTAAAACACAATAAGTAATTTCTTTCTTAAAATAAGTGCATTTTTTTCTTGAATTTAGGTGGTAAGTGAGACACTTTGCCAGTAGAACAAGACAATTTACATTTAAAATAGGAAAAAAACAATTACAATGTCTTATTTCAAGTGCATATTATCTAAATATCTTATTTTAATACCAAAACTACTCATTCTATTAGCAAATAATCTTATTTACCTGCTCAAATTGAGGGGAAATGCACTTGATTTAAGAAATGTTTACTTATTTCTAGATCGTTTTTGCAGTGAAGGAGAAAAAGCAATTGCATTGTCTTATTTCAAGTGTATAATATCTAAATATCTTATTTCAAGAGTAAATATACTGATTCCATTGACAGATCATCTTATATACCAATTCAAATTGAGGGAAATTACACTTTATTTAATAAATATTTTCTTATTTCTTGATCGTTTTTACAGTGTACTTATAGCTCTGATTGCTGCCATCAACACACTGCAAAAACGATCTAGAAATAAGCCAACATTTCTTAAATTAAGTGTAACTACCGTTGTTTTGAGTAGGTAGTAAGATGATTTGCCAATGGAATGAGTATTTTTACTCATTTTAGTATGCATTTCAAATAAGACAATGTAATTATGTTTTCTTATTTTAAATGTAAATTGTCTTGTAATTCAATTCAATTCAATTCAGTTTATTTCTATAGCGCCAAATTCACAACACGTGTCATCTCAAGGCACTTTACAGTTCAACCAGAATATTCAGTCAAACTGATATAAAGTTTTCTATCTAAGGAAAACCAGTTGATTGCATCGACTCATTGACTCAAAGGCAATCCCTCACACTAAGCATGCTTGTAGC